GTTTCACAGATTTAAACCAGACGCAGTGTACCGACCGGTTCCCCTCTGACGAGCCAGGTCGGGCGAAACGCGCGCGTCGGTTATAACTACCAAGTGACCCGGTGATTACTTTCCAGTCCTGATACATAAGACTAATACCACTGATTGAGATTCTTTTCATCTTTTTATTTGCACAATTATTCATAGGTAGTTATTGTAGCACTTTTTTTGTGTGGTCTTCACCAGTGTACACTTGTATGTCTTTGGTTTTAATATTTATTAATAAAATTTATTTATTTTTTCCTTTTTGGATTATATTACAGTGGTATACTTTGCTAAATAGTATACCTTCTCAGCATTATTGTCTGAGATTGATATACCCATTATGTAACCACATTTTGCTCTGTACTTTAGATATATAACATGTAGGTACACTTCCTGTTTTTTCTTGATATGTTACATTTGGGGTTACCCCCCGTTTCTTTAAGTGTACCTGTTATTTGGCTCTATTCTTATTCTCTCTGGGTGTGTACCCACATGTGTGGTTGAGGTCGTTGTTTCGTGGAGTTTGTTGGTTTTATTTGGTGGGGGGGGGCCACCAGAGGGTCTGCCTGTGTGCTTGGGTGTAGCAATGGGTTTTCTGTTTTGGCTGTTCTGTGTCCCCCGTGATCTAGAGGTCGGGCTGTTAGTCAGGTCGTCTGGGAGTGTTCGTCTCAGAGGTCTAGGTATGTCATTGTCGGATCCCTTGGGAGGAGTGTGCCTCGTCATTGTGCCTCCGCGGGGCTCCCGTCCCCTGGTATCTTGTTTGAAACTTGTGTGTGCCTGGGGGTAGTTATTGGGTAGGGGGAGGGTCAGGATTCTCTGAGTAGGGGGTTGAGGTCTTCCTTCTGTCCCGCATGAGTCAGATTGCGGTGAGTGTGGGTTGTGCGCCCTGAGGCCGTTATTTGTGGGTGCCTCGTGTTGTCTAGTTGTGTGTAGGTGGGAGGTATGGGTGCATTCTTGGTGAGGGGCGCCCGTGGTAGTTGGTCATTCTTTTTCACCCTGTGGCCTCCGGGAGGTGTGTGACCCCAGAGTGATCGTGTACGTCTCTGACCGTGTGGAGAGAGCAGTTGTGCTATAGCAGTGCTAAACATACAACAGTGGTTAAACAATTTAACAATTTAACATTTCAACTTGTCAACTTTATCTGCTGTCTTTGTCCTGGCTGACCTGCTGCCCAGCGGTCTGGTTGTTTCCGTTATCCTCTAGGGGGGGTGAGTGCGTCTCGTCGGGTGGGGGGGGTAGCCCACGGGGTCAACCTTGTGAGGGCTGGCGGTTCTTCGGGATCCCTGTAGGGTGTCTCTTGGGTTTGCGTACCGGGTTTTAGGAGTCTAGGTGGGAGGGGAGTCTAGGTGGGAGGGGGCTGTCCCTGTCAAGGCGCAGCACCATCCGGCTACGGTCGCTGCTTGGGTGGAGGCGGTCGGGGTTTAGTCGCCGGGAAAGGGGCGCTGCACCTGGGCGGGCCAGGTCCAGCCATGGCTCCCCCCCCCCCATGGTCTGGCAGCGTAGGGGCCTTTGCCGTCTCGTCCTTGGTCCTGATACCTTTAGTCGGTTAGAGGCAGTGGTGCATGCGCCTGTGCGCCAACAATAGTGTGCAAAATTATACATAGCATGCATGACATATAACATTAAGTAGCGGTACTTAGCAGGGATTCGCCACGGGTGGGCAGTGTGGCTAATAGCAATCAGATGGGTTACTTAACTGTTATAGTTTGTTTAGCCCGGGAAATCTGGCACCCCCTGTTACCTCTCGGGTTGCTCTATGGCCCGTCCTTGCTGGCTGGTGATAGTGTGGTGGCAGGTTAAGGTCGGTGAGGCTGAGCTCGTAGTGGGTAGGGCTCGGCAGTGTCAGTGGCGGCATGATATGGCCATCTGACGCGTCTGATAGCAGGTTTGCTTATGATTGCGCGTGGGAGCATATCAAACCTCACGGGGGGGCACCTGTATACTCCCGGTTGTTCTGGGGGGGGGGAGTGTTCCCTGCTGTTGCTGCGGGGGCCTCGCCGGGCTGGCGGGTGAGCTGCCCGCTGCGGGTGTCCCGCCCCCGGCCGCGGGGGACGCCCGGACTGTGCCCGGGGAGCCGCGACTCAGGCAAGGCTCCCCCGGCGTCCGGAAGTCGCCCCCGGGCGGCCGACGGCGCGAGAGCCAGAGCGTTAAGTCCCCACGGGGGGGGCAGCCCGGCGCGACCCCCATCCCGCCCGGAGGATGCAGGGTGGGCCCCTTAGGTGAGCTGCCTTGGTACCGGTAGGGGTAGGGAGGCGGGGGATAGTGGTTTAGAGGGGGGTGCAGCAGGGGGTTAGAACCTGGTCGAGTGTCCGTTCAGTAGAGAAGTCCATTTAGTGTGGCCTGCGTTACTGTTCATCCTTTTCCCTGTTTGCAGTTACACGGTGTTCTTCGGGGTCTGTGAAGGTCTGGTCCGCTGGGATTGACGCAGGGAGGCTGTATCTTCCTTATGTGGTGGGCGTTGAGGATCTCTAACTGCGGGTGCCGTCGGCTGGAGGAGCGGGACTCCTATGTGTTTGGCAAAGTCTATCATGTCTGCCGGGTGGTGGAGGGTGAAGGAGTTGTTTTCTTTCCGAACCATCAGTTTGAACGGATGTCCCCACATATATCTCCAGCCATGTTGGACCAGGGAAGCGGTGAGGGGTTTGAGTTCCCTTCGTTTTCGTAGGGTGGTGGGTGCTAGGTCTTGGAAAAATTGTAGCTGGTGCCCCTGGTGCGTCGGCGGTTTTGTGCGGGCTGCTGCCATCAATTTTTCTTTGGTGGCGAAGTGTAGTAATTTGACTATGACGTCTCTCGGCATGGTCAGGCTGGGTGAAGGAGGCCGCAGTGCCCGATGTGCTCTTTCGATCTGCAAGTCACTGTCAGAGGCTTCTGGCCAGAGGAGGAGGAAAATCTCTTTAACAGAGGGGAGGACGGCCTCTGGTGGTACTGATTCAGGCAGGCCTCGGATCCTTATGTTGTTCCTGCGGGATCTGTTGTTAAGATCCTCCAGGCCGTCTTCTAGCTGCACTACTCTATCTTGTATAGCGTGGATTTCGTGGAGCTGGGATTGGGTTTTCTGGGTTAGGCCTGTGAGGTCTAGTTCAGCTTGTGTGGTGCGCGCTGTGAGCGCGTCGATGTCGCTGCGGAGGCCCGACATTTGCTTTTCGAGTTCCGCCGCCGTGTATGCTTTTATGTCCGCAGATGTTTCTCTGAGCAGTTTCCTCAAGTTGCCCATTGTGAGAGGGGCTGAGGTGTCGTCCGGTGTGTCACTGTCGTCCGAGTCAGTGCCGGAGTGCTGTGTGTTTTGGGCCGAAGATGGCCGCCCTTGCTCTGAGGCACGAAACAACGTGGCCACAGACGGAGTGTTTTCTCTCCGTTTTTTGTTACCTCCCATGGTGGAAATGTGGTGAGGTCTATGGTGGTAATGTGTGGTGCACTTTGTAGCAGTGGATGGCCTTCGTATATCGCTGATGGTGGCTGATTGTATGCTCGGGGTTGAGGGAGCTCAGGGATCACACGTCTTTCTCCATCGGTGGTCAGGCTCCGCCCCAGTACTTTGCCATTTTAATATGGTTGATGACAACTTCTAAGATCTTATCCCCAGTAATTTTTATAAGTTCCTCACAGACATTTGCTGATAAATAACTTGTACATCTTTTGCCTTTGTTCGGCTTTGTTTGGATGTGTTGTGCTAGGAAAGCATCATACTCTGACAGTAATTCCAAAATACCAAGATAGTTGTCATTGTGTGGGGATCCAATAGTCTGATCATCACCTCTAAAAGCCAATCCTCTCTCAGCAAGAAACTGGATCCAGGGGGCAAAAGTAAATTCTTGCCAAGGGTCCAATCTGTATTAAAGACAGCCCTGCTCAAACGGAAATATATATTTCTCCTGCCCAACAGAATGGACTGCCCCAGTGTCTAGCAGAAAATTTACTATTCTATCACCTGGTAAAGAAGCATTAACAGTAGGAGATGGTTCAGCTATGTCAGGAATATTTAAAGCAGTGCAGGGACACTGGGTTGTCAATTTCCTGTTGGGGCGGGGGTGGTGGAAGCTGAGTGTCATGAGTCGTCTTGAATTGTTCTGCTGGTTCCTATTTTTAGGAGGACATTTACAGTTGCGCTTAATATGTCCCTTACTCCCACAATTCCACAACTCAACCTGTCTCCTTTCCGTACTTAATCTGGGGGCAGTTAATGCCATAAGGAGTGTAGTTCTTTTCCAATTATTTAGGTTGGCTTCTACACCTATTGCTACTTTAAAACCTAGTAAAACGTTTGTCCATAGGTGGTCAGCTCTTCGATCTGCTGTTGCATTTTATAGTCAATCCAACCTTATAGGATGGCGTATATGATGTTGAGACTGCTCATGGGATGAAATTTGTTCACTGGCATGTTTCCATTTGCTGAAGTAATCACTGGAAAATGCATTTGTTGATGAATTAAATAATTTGCAGTCAAAACTGTATATTCGGCTTGTTATTTGAGTAACAGAGGTTCAACTTTGTCCCCATTAGGACAGTTACGACTAAACCTATCTAGTGTACAGCAATGTCCATCTTTAAATGATTTTGGAAATCCTTCATTGCGACACTTTGCAGTTTTAAAAAGTAGAATAGTGGGGGGGAGTGGCTTTGACTCTGAAGGGAGCAGACGCATGGCGGCTGAGCTCCGGCTGAAAATCAGACACAAGCCTTAAAGTGATTAGACACCCGATATTAGAAGACACGGTGCCCAATAATCCCTACAAGATATGGGGAAAAGGTCCAAAAAGGCTAAAAACCCCTCACCGAGGACAGCTCTCGCAGTATCAGCGATCATCTGCAATAGCGGCCTAAACCTAAAATGGCAGCGTCGCCAGACTCACCTTATTCCTCCTCCGATGAAGACTGCCTGGATGCCCCTGATAAAATCCCTTATACAGTTGGGCCTGTAGCCAAATCGCCGGCAGAAGACTTACAAGCTCCGGCCACGAAGGGTGACAAAAGCCCTCATGAATAATATCCGGGCCTCCTTCAATGCTGACCTCTACATTATCAGGGAGGATGTTGCTGGGGTCTTGGCCCGAGTGAAGGCCACTGAGGAACAAGTCTCTTCTATGGCCCACCAAAAAGACGGCAGCAAAGAGCAGATTCAACTGCAGGCGGCCCACAGAGCTGTTCAGATCAAGCTGGACACCCTGGAAGACATACGAAGACACAATCTGAAGATGAGGGGTATAGCTGAAACAGTCTACGAATAAGATCTGCTGCACTTCTTGCGTCATGTCTTGGCTTCCCTGCTACCTCAACGCTCTGCTAAGGGCATACAATTCGACAGCTGCTTTTGACTCCAGAAATCCAACAGGGCTCCTTCCGCGACCACCCACGACGTGCTAGTCCGCTTTGTGATGAACCGGAACAGGATTGTGGTCCAGGAAGCGGTGAGGAATAAAACCCCATACCGGTTCAAACAAATGCACCTACAAGGCCAGGGAGGCACTTAGTACTGATCACCATAACTATTCGATCCTTATATCAGGCTGACCTTTTCTGTTCCCGTTATAAATGTAAGTTTATAAATTGTTTTTGAGATGGAAGCGGCAGGATTTGGCGATCAACTGGACATGAGGGGTGAAGGAGAGGTCGGAGTCAGAATACCTAGGCAGTGAGCCTGAGAGGTAGAGGTGATGGTGGCATGGTTGACTTGGAGGGAGACCGACACGGGAGTAGCAACACTTGAGGGAGGAAAGACCAGATGTTCTGGACAGGTTGAGCTTAAGTAAGGTGAGCAGCCATCCAGTTAGAAATCGCGGAGAGGCAGTGAGACGCACAAGTCAAGATGGGCGGAAAGAGAGCAGGAGATTGACTTGAAATACTGTTGAGATTTTTGTAAAGCAATTTCATTGCCTTCTGATTTATCAGTGGTGGAGAGTTAACTGAAAAAGATTGCCACGGTCTCTAATTGTGACGCAATAAATAAATAGATGGAAGGAGCATTAGATCAATGGCATAATGCTCAGAATTATGTGGCCAGGACAATTATTGAAAATAAATTGTCCAAAGCCAATGGTAAAACGGTTTCGATTTTTGCTGCCCAATGGATTGCAGAGTAGTACAAATGTTTACATAAGCAAAAACATAAGTTAGAGGCAGAAATGTCTAATTTAAAGAATGATGTGGAATTGTTCAAACTGTCTGAGCAGAATGCCATAGGTCGCCAGCAAATGTGGCAAGAGAACATAGAATTGCACAGTGAAGATGAGCAGCTTACTAATAGGCTGAGGGATGCAGAAGGACCTATTAGAACCCTTGCATCTTGTAGCCAGAAAGACTGGTCATTCTGTCTATCTTGCAGAAATTCACAATTTAAAATTACAGTTGGCGAAAAGAAATGCAGTTGTGGCTACATTCAATACTGCAGCACCTGAAACAAAGGTTGTGCATAACATAGAGAGGGATATTTTTACAGCTGGTTATGGTAATTGAGAATATGCCCAACAAAATGGCACTAATCTGTTAAAACTAAAAAGGATTCTCAGGGACGACTTGTTTCTCAAAAATGTGTCGACCCTTGTCTATAGCTGAGACTAATTTAGTTTGCAAAGAGTTTGGAAATATAGGTTTTTCTTGATAACACAAAGGAAGTGTTTATAAATATCCAGCAGTTTTATAAAGTAAAATCAAATTTTATTAAATGCAGACAAATTCGAAATACTTTTTGAGTGGTCGTGCATGAAGGAAACAAGTCTTCATGCTTCATTTTCTGTTTTCAAGGAAATAGACAATCTGTATAGGAGTACAGTGATAGGTTGTCCATGCACTACAAGTTATCACTCCCAGCTAGACAATAAGCAAGTCAAGTTGATTTTGCATATAAGAGGGCTGTACTGGGCAAAACACTGTCTTCTATTCAGGAACTTGTTGAGTTGTCTGTGTCTCCACATAATCCATTTTAAAAAATTAAAACATTTTTAAATCATTGCAAAATTAATACATATAGTCGACAAACCGTCATTAACAAAATAAATAATTTATAAAACAAACAGAAGGTATTACGTGTTAAAGATGGGGTAAGTTTGGGCACATGGCAAACTAACTTTTTTTAAAAAGTGCATCAATGTCGCACTATGGGTAGGAATAGCTGGACGCTGGGGAAAAAAATTGAATTGGTACAAGGTGTGGATTACATAGAAATTATATCATCTGTGAACCCACCACAGAACCTTGGATTTCCTACCATGTGCTTAAAGCGGCACTGTCATGGCCGAATCCCGTTTTGTTTATTTTATTTTTTTAGTTTTTTTTTACCCGCCTCCACTATCTCTAATTGACCCCCTAGTTCTCATTCTGTTAGGATGCAATTCGGCAGTTTTGCTGGCGTTCTAAGTGACAGGACGTTCGGCAATACTGACAGGAAGCATTGTGGGAAAATTACTCTGACCAGCGGAAATGAAGCACACTTTTCCCCTCCGCTGGTCAAGCGGATGAAACCTCCATAAGGCAAAGGGTCCCTACTTTGTCTTATGATTTTAAAGAAAACTAAGGAAGACAGGAAGAAATGAAGAACAGATCCTGAGAGAGGGGGAGAAGAGGAAGAGATTGAGGAAAGGTAATTTTAGCATGACTGCTGCTTTAAGGTACAGAATGAACAGCTAGAGGTAGAAAGTCATTCTCTAAAATGTGAGTGTAGTGAGTTTCTAGAGAAATTGGATTGTCTCAAGGAACAATTAAAGAGGGAGGAGATGGTTAATAAAGATACTATTTTAATTGTTTGATTTAACATTCTCTTCAAGTTTTTATTTAAAAAAAAAAAGTCAATTGAGGAGGAAGTGAATTAAACCTGTGAGAAGACCCGTCATTTAACATGTTTTTTTGTGTTTTTTCCTGGAAAAATACAGTTCCAGTTTATAGAGGACCTTAGGGTGTATTTTATTTTTTTTCTTCCTTCATATTAAGGATAAGCCTCCAAATTTATTAACTCATTAGTCAGGTGGTCCAAAAGTTGATTTTGTTGTTATGCTGTCTTTTAAAAAATTTTATTTAATACTATCAAAAATAAGACTGTTTTGTATATTTTATATTGCTTTAAGTCAAGGTAGGGTGAACAGTAGAGTGACAGTATGATTTGGCATTTTTAGATTTGGAGTTAAATGGTTATGGGTATCAGAAGGTGGTAGCAAAAATTATAGTTATGAGACCGTATTGCTTAGTACACATGGAGGTGAACAGTTGTATGTTGTTCATATTTATGTTTCTACTGTTTTAGATGACCACTTGTGAATCCGGATGATAATCAAACCACTAGTGCTAGTAATTTCATGCCACCAATTGAGAGAGCCCTTACTGGCAAAATGCGTCTTGGATCTAAAGAAGGACTTGTTGCCTATTAATTTTCATGCTGATTTTATTCACTATTTTGTTTTTATTTGTAATAAATCATAGTTGTTAATTCAAAGTTCTCTTTTTACCTTCAACTTGAATTTACTACTCCGGGAAGTGTCACCCTCTGAATTTAACACTCAGTGGAAATTTTGGAGCCAGTTATCTAACAAACTCCAAATAAGGTCAGCAGGCAATTTTATATCAAATATGCACTGTTTTGTCTAAATAACCACACCTGGGAGAAAATACTGCGTTTTATACGGAAGAAGGTATTCTGGTGCCACCTAAAAGGCCCAGACTCTCCTCTTGTTTAGAGCCGATATCGAAAAAGGCTCTAAAAAATGTGAGTATACAATATTGCACACATTTCAGTTTTTTTTGCATGTGAAAAAACCCCTTGTATATACCAAATATATTTAAGGGGCTGCACTTTTGGACTGTGTGTTGGGTGGTGGGGTTGATCACCAAAACACTGAGTTCGCTTTTTTTTCTATATTCTTTGTTTTAGTGGATCCTTTGGGATATCCATTAAGTGTGCAATAGCTGCTGGTATCACAATTAAACTATATCATTATCTCTGTTCAGCGCCTTATATACACTGTTTTGCTCTTTGAGTAATGTAACACTGTACACTTTCTGTGCTGAGTATCTTATAATTTTTGAAAGCCAAGGACCTATCGACAAATTATCACACACACAAGGGCTCAGGCACAAACCCACTCCAGCTATACAACTTGCAATAAATGTGCACGTACACCTTCACATGCCCACTTCAAGATCATTTATAAACAGGGTGACTAGATCCACCATGTTTTCTGGGACACATTATATATTCTGCCAAATATTGATGGGCAGCACATGAAAAGGGAAGCCCTGTAATATGTAGGATTCAGAAGAAGGTGTAATAAAAGCAATTTAGGCATTAAAGAATCCTGCAGTATGCATTATACAACCATTTTCATGTTTTCATAAATATGACAAAATTATTTGTCCTGATACACAATGGATCTGGTCACCCTGTTTATAAACCGATTAAAGAGAAGTGGACACAGGATAGAACCACGCGGCACTCCATTTACCACTTTGTCAATTTAAAATGTGCAATTATCTGCACTCTTTAAACCAGTATTCTATCCAAGAACAATTTCCATCTAAACCAAATGATTTCAGTTTTATTTTTTTTCAAGGCATTTTATACAGTTCTAACAAATACAAATAATTAAAAAAAATATAGAAAATAACATTTAAATAAAAGGAAATTGAAATCAAATATCATGTGTAAACTCATCACTTGAAATGTTTATATAGAAGCAGCAGATAATGAAGAGGTTATATACTTATTGAAATCATATACACGTCAATATTTGGATAGCCCTTGTTTTTTATTACCAGCTGTTTTACATTGCAGTGTTAAGGGGACAGGAATGAAATTAAGTGTTCTGGGTGCCTGCAGTGTCCCTTTAAGTTTTGGCATGACATGTGTTAATGCCTGCTGATTTTATTGTTCAAAATTAATTCTTGCATAACTGTTAATCTCACAGGTCTCTAGTTTCTAGGTTTAGTTTTTTAATACTTTGTAAACGGTAGTATGGATATTTCTACACACAGGTCCCCTAATCACTCGTAGGGGAATACCATCTGGCCCTGGGACTTTGTTTACATTAACTTTAATTTTTGAAGAAACCTGTTTGTCGTAAGGCTTTTGTAATGGATTTTCAAATCTACATCCATAGATTCTTCTTCCCAATATAGTGAAGAAAAATATTTAGAATTGCATTGTCCTGATCCTCCTTGATGAACTTGCCCATCTCAGATTCCAATGTACCAACACTTTCACTCTTTGCCTTTTTGGCATTAATGTACTTTAAACATTTTCAGGGTGTTGGTCTTGCTGTCTTTGGCAATTAATTTTAATAGACATGTGCAATTCACTTCGGGCCGAATATGAATTCGGACGAATTTCGGGCAATTCAGACATTCAGGTACTTCCGAATGTCCGAAGTGCTGAATTACCAAGGTCCTGAAGTTCTGAAGCACAGTATTGCCTAAGTACTAATATACTTACCCAGTGGAAGAAGAATGTTACACTGTATACAATTTTAAATAAAAAGCATACAAACATAGCTGTAAGCATTTGCAACACTTGCCAGTCATGTAATGACAGGAATGAATAAGTAGGTAACTCCCTAATTCCCACGGTATTAGAGAGCTATCTACTAAAAGGCTGAAAGACCTAAATTGGTCTTTCAGCCAAATTTACTAATACTAAGTAAACATTACTTAGTATTAGTAAATGATGCCCCTACTCGCTACTTAATCCACCAATCAGAGTGTTGAGTCAAATTACACAGCATGGGGAAATTCCAAAGAACTTTCCCACGCTGTGTAAAATGACACAGAGCACTCTGATTGGTTGGTTTGAAATCCATCAATCCGAGTGCTGTGACAGGTAAATGTAGAGACTTACCTGTCAGAGCACTCTGAGTGGCTTAAACCCACCAATCAAAGTGCTCTGAGCCTAATTGCAGGGCGGGGCAAGGCTTTATAAGCCTTCCCCCACCCTGCGGAGCCCTCGCCAGGTGAAGATGGATTAATTTATTTATTTTTTGTGTTCTGTTTTTTTGTTAATATGGCTTTTTATTTAGCCTTTTTGGGGTCTGAAAAAAGATTTTAGAAAAAAGAAAACATCAAATGGTAAGGTTTTTTGGATTTTTTTTTCTTCAGGTACTTAGTTAAATGGTCCCCCCTAATTTATTTTTAGGGTGAGGGGGAGGATGGGGTTAATTTTTTGGGGGAGGGGGGTGACTAGGGGCTTGGGGACCCCTAGTCACCCGGGGGAGGGAGGGGTTATTTTTTTTTATTTAGGGCCCCCACCCACCGCTCAGGGGTGGGGGCCATGGGGGAGGACTTTAGGGCCCCCACCCACCACTCACCTCCCCCCTCATTCTAATTTAGGGCCCCCACCCACCGCTCAGGGGTTGGGGACAGGGAGGAGGACATTAGGTCTCCCCCTCATTCTAATTTAGGGCCCCCACCCACCAGCCAGGCTTGGGGGCCGGGGCCCCCCCATTATTTTACTTTAGGGTCCCCACCCGCCGCTCAGGTATGGAGGCTTGTAACATGCATATGAGAAAACAGACAATATCCATTATAGTAGTAATATATCTACCCCCCAAAATCGGAGGGGAGAGGATGCAGCCCACCGCCCTCCCATCAGGCAGGAACTGTAGCAGAGTTGAGGAGCTGCTAAAGCGAGCAGTTTTTAATGCCCCCGAGCTGTGACTTTCAGGACTGGTTAAAGGCATAACTTGCAAACAAAATTTGTTTGCAATTATGCAAATCGTGTACACCTGATTGTGGGGTATGGATGAGGTGAAGCGGTTAAGGTTAAAATAGGCAAACTGGAAAAATTGTTTCAATTCAGCTACTCTGGCCTCAAGTTTAAAACTCACTATGAATTCTCACTGTAGTTAATAACCCTTAAGGTACTGTCTCTTTTAGAGATCTGACTGTGCCCCTAAGATTTATAATAGTGAACTTCTGTTATGTTCTTTGAGTTTAATGTTTCCAGATACATTTTTAGTATGGCAATGGTATGAGCAGACCAGGGAATGCTGAGTTGGGTATGCACAATAGCAAGCATCAGTTATGAAATGCAATCAAAAGCACACAGATTTAAACTAGATTATAATTCATCCATGTTTGGAGCATCCGTTCACGACCTTCACCGTGGTTTTCCTGTTGCAACTAAACTCCACTCGCTGTAATTGCCGTAGTCCGTGAAATCTTTTGCTGCCACTTGAGCTTCTACAAATGAACCTGGCTTCAATCCCTTCAGAATGAATGATGTAAAATCATATGGACCAATCTGTAAAATTAACAGATTGAGAAAATTGTCTTTGAGTATTTGTGTCTTTAAAGATTTATTATTATTATTGCCGTTTTATATAGCGCCAACAGATTCCGCAGCGCTTTACAATATTTATTAAATAAGTCAATCTGTGCATAAGTGAGAATTGTCAATTGAGAGTAAATGTAGACCTAAATAGCCAAACCAGAAAAACTATCACTTGCATGGTAATGTTTTCCTTGTAGCAACTCACACCACCCCCTCCTTTTACCACCGTTGGTTAGGGGTACTTTCTAACTATTGGAGCTTTAACACGACTCACTCAGGGGCATTTATGATCACGTTAGCCTCAGCCTTAAGGGACACTACAGTCACCAGAACAACTACAGCTTAATGTATTTGTTATGGTGAGTATAGTCAGTCCCTGCAGGACTTTTGCAGTAAACACTGTCTCTTCAGTGTTCACATTACAGCGTAAGGACACTTCCAGTGGCCACTCCTTGATTCAATGCATTATCATATATAATGTCATACAAAGTGTAATTTTTATTAATGTATGCATATAGTAATATAAAAATACATTTAGAGTAAAATGACACATAATATATTGTAAAAAATGTTTCAATAATTTTAAAAATGACAAATGTGTATATATGTAATTTTATTCTAACTGTATTTTGATATTAATATACACTGCTCAAAAAAATAAAGGGAACACTCAAACACAATGTAACTCCAAGTCAATCACACTTCTGTGAAATCAAACTGTCCACTTAGGAAGCAACATTGAGTGACAATCAATTTCACATGCTGTTGTGCAAATGGGATAGACAACAGGTGAAAATTCTAGGCAATTAGCAAGACACCCCCAATAAAGGAGTGGTTCTGCAGGTGGTGACCACAGACCACTTCTCAGTTCCTATGCTTCCTGGCTGATTTGGTCACTTTTGAATGCTGGCGGTGCTTTCACTCGTGTGGGTTGTCGACTCTGTCTCATGCTACCACTAAAGTGGCTTAGGTAGTGCAGCTCATCCAGGATGGCACATCAATGCGAGCTTGCTGTGTCTGTCACCATAGTGTCCAGAGCATGGAGGCGCTACCAGGAGGCAGGCCAGTACAGCAGGAGACGTGGAGGAGGCCATAGGAGGGCAACAACCCAGCAGCAGGACCGCTACCTCCGCCTTTGTGCAAGGAGGAGCACTGCCAGAGCCCTGCAAAATGACCTCAAGCAGGCCACAAATGTGCATGTGTCTGCTCAAACGGTCAGAAACAGACTCCAGGAGGGTGGTATAAGGGCCCGACGTCCACAGGTGGGGGTTGTGCTTACAGCTCAACACCACGCAGGACCTTTGGCATTTGCCAGAGAACACCAAGATTGGCAAATTCGCCACTGGCGCCCTGTGCTATTCAGATGAAAGCAGGTTCACACTGAGCACATGTGACAGACATGACAGTCTGGAGACACCGTGGAGAACATTCTGCTGCCTGCAACATCCTCCAGCATGACTGGTTTGGCAGTGGGTCAGTAATGGTGTGGGGTGACATTTCTTTGAGGGGGCCGCACAGCCCTCCATTGTTTTAGATACCAAAGAAAACTTTGATTATTTGTCTATCTACTCCTTTCTAAATTGATTGAGCGCATGTCTTCTGGAAGTAAATCACACCGGACACATTGCAGGTTTATGAAGAACTCAGAGTGGCCTTTATTCCAGGGTGTGCAATTCCCTTTTAAACCAGAAATACGTCATGTACAGAGTCACAGTTAACATACAGTATACATTCATTAATTGGTTAAAAGTCTAAGGGGTCTTGTCTAAACACCCCCTAAAGGATGTAGTGTCGTCATTACAGAGTTCTCCCACCCATATTTCGGCTCCATATTGGTTACACGATGGGAGGGGGGGAAGTGAGTAGTAGTTACTTTAACAGTGATTCTCCATTTTGTTACACGTGGCACATAGCTGTTACTTTGCACAAAGGAAGTGGGGGAGGAGTTTAATAAAGGAAGCTGTTCTTTTAACACAGGAATTTGTTACATGAGGCTTGCCCGATGGGAAGGGGGGAGGCTAGCAGGATGGGAGGAATTTGCAGAGCAAATAGTGACTGAACACAGGGAAGGGAATATTTACTCTAGCAGCCAGTTTTAACATAGTGAACACAGAATAAATAGACATTAGTAAATAGCCATTTTATTTTAATTCTTCTGTCCATAACACCATGTGCTCGCCAGAGGTAGCCTGACTGCCATTAGGTACCGAAATTAGATCCTCAGACCCCTTGTGAGACCATATGCTGGTGCGGTTGGCCCTGGGTTCCTCCTAATGCAAGACAATGCTAGACCTCATGTGGCTGGAGTGTGTCAGCAGTTCCTGCAAGACGAAGGCATTGATGCTATGGACTGGCCCCCTGTTCCCCAGACCTGAATCCAATTGAGCACATCTGGGACATCATGTCTCGCTCCATCCACCAACGTCACGTTGCACCACGTCAGACTGTCCAGGAGTTGGCAGATGCTTTAGTCCAGGTCTGGGAGGAGATCCCTCAGGAGACCATCTGCCACCTCATCAGGAGCATGCACAGGCGTTGTAGGGAGGTCATACAGGCACGTGGAGGCCACAAACACTACTGAGCCTCATTTTGACTTGTTTTGAGGACATTACATCAAAGTTGGATCAGCCTGTAGTGTGTTTTTCCACTTTAATTTTGAATGTGACTCCAAATCCAGACCTCCAAATTTGATTTCCATTTTTAAATTTTTGTGTTTTGTTGTCAGCACATTCAACTATCTAAAGAACAAAGTATTTCAGAAGAATATTTAATTCATTCAGATCTACGATGTGTTGTTTTTGTGTTCCCTTTATTTTTTGGAGCAGTGTATTTATCAAAATACACTTAGAATGAAAAAAATAAATAAATATATATATATATTATATATATTTGTGTTAGGGGCACATAGCCGTATAAGGAGTAAAGTTCCAGTATACGCGTAGGATAGTGTAGAAGAGCAAGTCGGTTGTGGTGTGCCGGGACCGACGATACGGTAGGCCTGTAAATAAAGAGGGCAAAAAGTGAATAATCAAAATTTAATTCAGTCATCAAATACATACAAATGAACCAGTCATTTATTGTACTGGTTTGGGTATGTATCATGTGTAAGCAGAAGATTTCCATTGCCCCAGTGATTTGATAAAGTGCACTGGTATGTTGGCGCTGGAGGCTGTGGAAGCCGCCCCTATATGGAAGGAGTGACCCGAGTAGGTAGAAGAGTAAACAGATCTTATATATCTCATGAATGTAGCTGTAGTAAGCACTGAGCCTTGTAATACAAATAATGGTTTTGATGGTGGTAAAGTAGGGTTTTGCAGGTATGAATCTAGGATCGCAACTGGCCACCATTTATTGTGGGTTAGATAAGTAATTTCTACCGGTGGTGAGTGTTGGCTTGTTTTGGAAAGTGGTAGAGCCAATATGTAGTGATCCATGTGTTTGCGTAGGTGGGATCTTTGAAGACATCTATCTATCTGTCTGAGTGGTGGTGATGGTAGTAAACTCTCTTGGCCTGAGAAAGCCGTAGAAGGCTATGTACATGGCCACTTTAATTACGGTGTTGGTAGTAGAATGAAATGGTTGTAAATCTAATAGGTCAGATAAAGTTCTTCAAAGACTTCAAATATGTAAATAAGTATATATATATTTAAGTAATTATTTTGGCTGCAATTTGGGGGACTGGCCTGACAACCCAGACAGAAAGTCCAGAGAATTTAATTTGCTAGAACTAGTTTAGATTTTACAGGACATTCTTAGCAGACCACCCTCTCTTTACTTATTATTTTTTTTACTTATATTTTGATTTGTACCTCTGCTTACCTTCTATTGAGGTTTCACTCTGTTTACATTCAGGCAGGTGTTCTAAACCTGAGTGTCATGGGAGTTAGGAGATAGTACTCATTATACTAGGTTTCACAGCAAGATATACTTTAGACCTCCTTTTACAATAGCTATTACTGGATGTCTTCAAGTATTATTAGGCAATCCCTTTCTCTCTCTTGCTCTGGGTACTACCTAGTCATTCTGCAAGTACTTTCTCCTCTCTTTCCCTTTTTTTATTATTTTTTGTGATACCATCAGTTATTTTCTATGTTTTGAATTTTTAGAAGGAATTTATTAAAAGTTAGTTTTTTAAATTATTTTCTTTTGGGTTGCACTGCAACTACAGGGAACCTTTGGGACTGACACATATTAACCCCTTGGTTTCTCTGTTTTTGCTTAGTTTCTCTCTTTTCCCTTTTCTATAGCCACTAGGGGTTACCCCCCACTTCTCAATAGCAACCCGATATTTGTTGCTTCTGTTCCTATCTCTCATTTCCATTAAAAATTGCCAGATTGATTATGTTGCCTTTGAGAGCATATGGTAGCCCAGGAATGAGAATTACCCCCATGATGGCATACCATTTGCAAAAGAAGACAACCCAAGGTATTGCAAATGGGGTATGTTCAGTCTTTTTTAGTAGCCACTTAGTCACAAACACTGGCCAAAGTTAGCGTTCATAATAGTTTTTTGTATTTTTAATACCTAAACAAATATAAATGCTAGCTTTGGCCAGTGTTTGTGACTAAATAGCTACTAAAAAAGACTGGACATAACCCATATTGAATATCCTGGGTTGTCTACTTTTCAAAAAATTGATGTGGGTAAATTTCATTGCCTGGCTTCAAAAAAGTCCCAAATAGGACATGGGTACATGATGACCAGCTGTGAAAATTCCAAGTTGGAATGCGCACCCTCTAAATAAGGTTTTTTATCTCCCAGAGAACCCGACACACCTATACATGGGGGGGGTAATCACTGTACTCGGGAGATGTTGCTGAACACATATTGAGGTGTTCTTTGGCAGTAACCCTTAAAGTTCTCAGTACATGTATTCTTAAATTGCTACATGTGTGATAAAAAAAAAAATCACCAATTATTTTTTTTTATTTTTAAATTTGGCATAAATTGGTGGTAAAATGGTTGCCTTAAAATAATCAAAATACCTTAAGTTTAATACCTTAGGTTGTCTTTTTAAAAATATATACATGTGAAGGGTTATTCAGGGATTTCTGGCAGATAGCCGTGTTACAATGTAACTTCTTTTAACTTTGGGGGAAGAAAATGGATTGGAAATAGCAAAGTGTGTACTTATAGCCCCATATCGTTCCAAAAAAAGCTAAGAACATGTTAGTTGAAACTATTTAGCACAGGATTTTTTGGTGGTTGTAGATGTGCAACAGATTTTGGGGGTCAAAGTTCGAAAAACTGGTTTATTAAAAAAAAAAATTAATCACTTCATTTTTTTATAGTAAATTATATTATATGGTGAAAATAATGGTATATTTAGAAAGACCATTTAATGGCGAGAAAAACGTTATATAATATGTGTGGGTACAGTAAATGAGTAAGAGAAAAATTACAGCTAAACACAAACACCGCAGAAATGTAAAAACAGCCTTGGTCCCAAACGGTAAGAACATTTAAAAGCGGTCTGGTCACTAAGGGGTTAAGTGAACCTTAAAGGGACTCTCCAGTACCAGGAAAACATATCAGTTTTCCTGGCACTGCAGGTTCCTGCAGTGCCCCTCTCCCTCCCTCCCACCTCCATCCAATGTTGCCAAAGGGGTTAAAACCCCTTCAGCAACTTACCTGATTCCAGCGCCGATATCCCTCGGAGCTGGGTCAGGCTTCGCCCATGTTTCTCCCCCGCCGACAGCCAGCGGGGGAGACCTAATGCGCGTGCGCGGCAATAGCCACGCGTGCGTATTAGACCTCTCCATAGGAAAGCATTATTTAATGCTTTCTTATGGGGATTTCAGTGACGCTAGAGGTCTTCATGCATAGCATGAGGACATCCAGCGTCGTTTAAAACACTTTTCGTGTTCTAAGATAGCCATTAGAGGAGGACTTAACCCTGCAAGGTAATTATTGCAGTTTATAAAAACTACAATAATTACACTTGCAGGGTTATGAGTTGGCATCCAGACCACTCCAATGGGCAGAAGTGGTCTGGGTGCCTGGAGTGTCCCTTTACTCTTTTAGCTCCAGAAATTACCAACTTTATCTTACTTTTCTTTATTAAAAAAAAAAGTGGTGATTCAGTTAAGTAAGAATGTAATACATTTATGTGATATGCACTAACTTCATATTTTTCTTGTGTTGTAAAAGCATAAGCTGTATAAATAAAGATAGGAGGAGGGTAAAAACCCCAAATCGATTCTGCTTTCAGTTTGGCTATTTTGACCTTATATGGACACTATAGTCACCAAAACAACTTTAGCTTAAGGAAACAGTAATATAGATAATACCATTGCAGTCTCACTGCTCAATCCTCTGCAATTTAGGAGTTAATTCACTTTGTTTATAAACACTAGTCACACCTCCCTGCAAATGACTTACAAAGCTTTCCTAAGCACTTCCTGTAAAGTCATCTAATGGTTATACTTCCTCAATTGCAAATTCTGTTTAATTTAGAATTTATTATTTCCAGCTCTCTTAGATTGCTAGACCCTGAAGGAGCCTCCTGTAATTAAACTGAAATTTACAGAGCAGGAGATACAAACAAGTCTGTTTTCATGCAGACTTTCAGTCACAGCCAGGGTAGGTATGGCTAGGGCTGCATAAACAGAAACAAAAGTGATTTACCCTCCTAAATGGCAGTAAATTTAAACTTGATCTATACACCTAAAACTGCTTTATTAAGCTAAAGTTGTTTTGCTGACTATAGCGTCCCTTTAAATTCTCTTTAGTGAATGTTAACAGGTATCTTACCGTTTTGTAATGCTTTGCACCTGCCCTTTTATAACGAATTTTGTACATCAGAGGAAATTGCTCTGGATACAACCATGATCGTGGGGGATACCAGTGTAAGAGTAGCTTCTTTTTTTCCCCAACTATGTTGGACAGTGTGACATTCTCAGGTGGATCTGGGCGTACTAGGAGTCCACGAGTATTATAGAAAACAAAGGGGAACAAAATGAAAATAAATATATTCACATTCAAATAAAGATCGAAAATTTCTCCAGTGTTTTTTTGTTAAGCTATTGAATGAAAGACTGTAACAAGCATGCTTGTAAAAGTAAAAATTTTATGGGTTTTAGCAATAAATTAGAGCATTTTACATTAAAGTAGATAAACCATTAATATTAATTTTAGAACATATATCCTATGACAGGTCAAAATGCTTTACTCACTAATGTCCTCCACGATGAAAGGAAAAAGCTGTGTGGTGCCACCTAGTGGGCTGATGGCTGTGACGTTAAGAATGTACGGGTAATCTGCAAACATCTGAAAATCCGTGATCAAACAGCTCTGTGGTTCTTGATCAGACTGGACACACAGCTTCGGTGGTTCAGAACTCATCAAACCCATTCTGAGGATAAAAAAATTAAAATAACCCCCATAGTGAAATGAAGTTATACTTGGGTTGCAACTTGCAAACATCTACATACTCATCATAGTCTGGTAGCCTGATCAGCTCCAGATAATGCAGTCTAGTGTCCATACAAGATTATATAATATGCTCGACTTTCCAAATGATTAATCTACAAAAGTCACCATTGAAGGCTATGGGAATTTTTGTAGATTATACATTTAGAAAGTTCTAACAGTATTGAATCATTTGGAAAAGGTTTATTACCTGTAAGTAGTGATAAAGGTGGTAGGCAAGTATGCATTGGGTTTGAAGTCCCAGGTGCATCGAATCTTTTCTGGATAACTTATAGTCCAACACTGGACCCCAAGCTTCCCTGGAGGATCTAGCAAGGATACACACATCAAAATCTACATATTCAGCCAAAGAACAACTAGTAAGCAACTAGTACTCTCAATACTTCTTGATTTCATACCATTTAGACTTTAACTTAGATTGTTCTATAGATGAGCTTTCTTGGCATGTTTTTGTTGAATATTTCAGGTTAGACATTGGGAGGGAAATAAAACAGTTACCGGGGAGTTAGGGTGGCATTATTTTTATATTGGAACCAGGGGCTTTGGCCTCCTATTGTCTGAATTGTTCTTAGGACCTAGAGACAGGGTTGTTAAGGAATGTTCAAAAGCTCTTTTTCATATCAAGAATTTAACATTTTTTTAACATCTTTATTAAGGGCTTAAACTTTGGAGTTAAAACAAACTTTTTAATGGTAATAAATTATGTGGAGAAGATGGGGAATGGTTTATTAAAGAAATACTATAGCTTGCAGTAGTGTTTATACTTATCCCTTACATTATCCACCGGTTATGTGCAAAATAATTTCATACGTTCCAGGCAATCCTTGGATCAGGATTTCACTGTTTATATAAGTAATGTGGTAGACATTAGGAACTGTAGTGTCATCTGTATTTTAATGGCATTAATTGGATGAGTAGATCTGCTGTCACTCAGGCACTGAATGGCATTCAAACCAGATAATATTGATATTTGTTACTTCCACACAATAGATGTCAATTTTGGTCAGCAATGTTTGACACAGTGTAATGTATTAAGTGTAGGGATAGCTGTTGGCTTAGCTCCGTTTTTTTTCTGGATCCTCTGTGTTCATCCTTCTGTCAGATAGTACGGCTAAAATGGGGGGAACTTAGATCCACAGAGTGAGCACCTATATACTATCATGGGCATGTTGTAGCATGTACTCACTTCCCTCGAGCTTCGCGGTCCGACCGTTCCACGCGCCAGCGTGTCCTACTGTAGCTAATACTCACCTACCTTGAGCTGCGCAGCCCTCCTTCTGCTGCACGGTCTGACCGGTCCATGCGGCCGCGCGGCAGGACATCTATTTTCTGGTATCCTGACCCAGCTTGGTATGTGACTCATGATTTCTGTATTCCTGACCTTGATTTATTCTTGACCTTGTATCTCACAATATTAATACGTTAATCTGGCCATTCTAAGGCTCGGAAATACATCTTCCGGATCCACCTTTTGTGGGTTTTCTCTTTCCTGCGTGTTGGGGTACAACTCTCAAGACGTCTTATGTATGTCTTCTGGTTGCCCTGTAAAATCCGAGACATGGATTTTTTTTAAAACAAAGCTTGAATTGTGATCCAAATGGACCGATGGTATGGTTTATGTTCTGTTCAAAAAAAGTGCTTAATTACACTTGTTTATCTCCACAAACCCCAAAACCATTACTGAGACCAGCACCTTTAACCTTAGCTGAAATTGAGGGGAAATTCGAATCAACACAAGTACCACTTGTATTTGCAACATATAAACAGCCAAAAAAGCAGGGAGAAAACTAGTTCAAAACAAAGTATCCTTATTGCTTCTTTTTAAATTTGTGGCTAGAGCAGGGGAAAGGCACAGTCACTACAATGCCTACGCGTTTTGTGCCTCACAAGGACTTGATCAGAGACTACTTGTATTTGTGAATTTTGTGCCTGCAGAATTTTGGGATTGAGTTTGAGTATTGTCTGTCAGTGCTCATCTGTCTATTCAGAAAAACATAACAGGAGAATTGTGAAAAAATTATTGCTCAGAACTGCAGAGCACAAAACATGCCAACATCTGCCTTGTGATCTGTAGATGAAGAAGCTAAGTGGAGTGGGCCTTGACTTAGCTGGGAGGCAGGCAGATGGAATGGTGGGAGTGGATTAGGGAAGTTGGGAAGAGGTGGCCTATAGCCATATAAATAGCGGCTATTTTAGGTAAAGCCCTCTTTCTAATTTAAATCCCACTTACCTGTTTTTGCTGCAAAATGTGGGTGTGGAGTTCTCTCTTTTTTGTCTTTCAGGTTCCATGGATGCAGAGCGCGATGTGGAGGCCTTCCTTGCCAGTGTCCGGGAGGCCGTGATGGATCATGGTGTGGCTCGGATGCAGGACCGTTTGATGACTACAATTGGAGCAGCAGGCCTGGCGGTGATCCAGGCGCAATGGACATCCCGACGGATTATGCTGCCGCAGAGACTCAGCCCTGGGGATGATCCATTACAATTCTGGCGGAGAACCCCTTCCCGAGTGACCCCCTGCATTTAGGATGGAGAGAGAAGGTACTTACTCGCCAAGGTCGCGGACAAACCACACATTGGAGGCCCGCCGCAAAGAGAGGTGTGCGGCCAGGATCACACGACACCGCGATATCAGGCGGTTGCAAAGGATTACTGGAATGCGGCTTTAGGAAGCCCCTAGCCATCAGAGGCGCTCCTGGGAGGCTAAGAACACAATGGAAGCAGGCAGGGGCCGGCAAACAGAGGGAATCAGCCCAGGCAGTTCCGGGTGTGTCGGCCAACAGGGACAATACTTACATGGTGGGGGAGGGGAAAGCAGGGGGGACCCATTTCAAAGCCAGGAATGTCTCAGGGGGCCCTAAACTCCCCATGGCTTATTCCCCCAGCTTCCAAACAGCCCTACAATGCTGCATGGCGACTTCAGGCAGAGCACAGAGACTAGCACAGTAACTTTACATCCCAACAGGGTGCCCCCACAAATAATAGACAATGGGGGTGACCCTAGGTCCACAAGAAAACTGGTGGGCAGAGGTAGCCACACTCAGGAGTGTTTCATCAGCTCCCCAAGGTCCAGTGTATGTGGCTGAGGTGGTAGGCACCGGGAGCTGCCGTGGGAGCAGGGAATGCAGCAATGACAGTGTCTCCCCTAATTATGGCCAGGATATAGGTAACCTTGGCTCACCTTTTATGGCTAGTAGTCGCAAGCGGAGTGCTTCCAGGTCCAGTAGCGGAGGCGTTTAGTTGTTCGTTGTTTACATAATCTGCGTTCGGTGAATGATTTCCTCGAAGATGTGCGCAAAAAATTGCATAAAGAGGTACAATTGGGGTGTATGGTGGGGCCTTTCGTGGAGCCGCCGATCCAGGATTTACAAGTTTCCACCTTAGGCGTGGTGCCCAAGAAAGAAGCGAGAAAGTTCATCTTGATTCACCACCCATCTTATCCTAAAGGGCCATCAGTAAATGATGATATCAATGGGGCACTCTGCTCAATTTCCAATGAATCATTAGACCACGCAGTCAAGTTGGTTAGGAAGGCGGGTCCGGGTGCACTGATGGCAAAAGCTGATGTGGAATCGACATTCCGCCTGTTGCCCTTTTATCCCACGTATTACCATTTACAATGTTTTTGCTTCAAGGTAAAATACTAAGTTGATCTTTGTCTGCCCATGGGCTGTTCCATCTCATGTGCGCACTTTGAAAAATTTAGCACCTTCCTAGAACGGGTTCTCAAGAGGCAGGCGGGCCCGAAACTTGTGGTCCATTATTTGGATAACTTCTTATGTGTCGGTCCCTCAAATTCCGACACCTGCAGGATCGGTTTAAGAACACTGGAATGGGTGACAAAACAGTAGGGCCTTCGACGTGTCTGAGTTTCTTAGGCCTTGAAATTTACTCTGTGGAAGGCGAATGCCAAATGCCATTTACCGTAGGATAAGTTGGTGACTCGCAGGAAAGTCATTGCGGAGGTCGTGCGTCTAAGAAAAGTGACCTTGCGCACGCTGCGGTCGCTAATCGGGCGCTTGAATTTTGCATGTCGGGTGATCCCAGTGGGGGGGAGGGGTGTTCAATAGATTCTTGGCAAAAGCCACCTGTGGTATACGGTCGCCAGATCATTTCATCAGGGTGTCGGGTCCCATGAAGGAGGACTTGGGAATTTGGGAGTGTATCTTGTGAGATTTTAATGGCCGGGTCTTCTTTCAGGATACAGCAGTCTCGTTGCCTGAATTGGAACTGTTCACGGATGCGTCAGGTAGTGTTGGCTTTGGCGCCTCCTTCGCTGGCCAATGGTGTGTTGTACAATGGCCTTCATCTTGGGCTGCTAGCACACTCATTCGGAACTTGACATTTTTAGAAATGTTTCCATTACTGGTGGCCTTGTCACTGTGGGGGCCCATATTGAGAGACAAGAAAGTTGTCTTCTTCACCGATAACATGTCGGCAGTGGACGCAGTAAATAACTTGTCAGCTCCTTCAGTCCCAGTGGTTCGGCTGCTATGTTGTTTTGTCCTACATTCTATGCAATTTAATATTGTTTTTCATGCACGTCATGTGCCAGGCTTCTTGAACGCATTCGTTAAATTAACTTTCTCGTTTCCAGTGGGCAAAATTCCATGCACAAGCTCTGGAAGCCCAGGCAGAAGGTATACCTTGCCCGATCGAACTGTGGCGTCTCGGGACTTCATGCTTGGAGGGCTAATCAGAGAGTCATTGGCACCAATTATACGTGGAGTGTGTACAGTAAAGTACGGGATTCATGGGATGCTGCGTGCGGCTGTATTGAGGGTAATCATTACGCGGAGGTACGTTTAGATGTTCTATTATGGTTGTTTGTGTCAGGTGCCTCCCCGTCGATTATGGATCGTAATCTAGCCGCGTTGGCGTTCCTCTTCAAATTAAATGGATGGGAAGACTGGACGAAGCTTTTTCTGGTCCGTCTGGCCCTCCAAGGTTACTGTAAAGGTAAAAAAGCTCCCGATTCCAGGAGACCGATCTCCTTTAATTTGCTTCTCCTGCTGCTTGAGGCATTACAGGGACTTTGTTTTTCTCACTACGAAGTGTTGTTTTCCTTAGCATTTGTTTGGGCATTTTTTGGAGCTTTTCGTATCAGTGAATTGGTGAGTAGTAGCCGGTATCGGAAGGGGGGCATTCTGATTTATGATGTGAGGGTCTGGGGAGATAAGGTTAGTATTAATCTCAGCCGTGCGAAAACAGATGTGTTCAGTAAGGGGTGCTTGGTTAAATTGTCTTATTTACCCAGCTCGAGGGCATGTCCCGGCAGAGGCGGCTCTAAACTTTATAAGGCCTTAAGCGAAACTCAAATATGAGGTCTCACTAACAAAAAAATTGAAAAAAATAGAGTTGCAATACATGCACTAAATACACATTGATGCACAGTTTACCTATGTTTGTGCCTGAGAGTGTGTCTGGCAGAGAGTATCTGTGTGTGTGTGTGAATGTATGTCTCTGAGCATGTTTGCGTTTTTTGTCTGGGACCCTATGTGTATGGGGTAGCTGCTTGAAGTGTGTTGTGTGTATGTGCGTCTGCCTGTAGCCTTTGTGCATTGTGATTATGGCAAAGCTATGTTTCTTGACTGTGTGTATGATGAATGTCTTCAGCTGGTGACTGTGTCAAGGTGAGTAAAGTGGTACCAGTGGCAGGGAGAGTTTGACAGGGTGAAAGGAGTATGACATGGTTTCTCTCACAACGCCCGCCCCCCCTCATAATGGACGGGGGGGTTGTGAGAGAGAATGAGGGGTAGGGAGTATGACATGGTTTGAACAAGGCGAGTGGAGGTAAGTGTGGCAGAGTGAGGGGGGGTGAGTTTGGAGGGGGGTGAGATTAACAGGATTACGAGTGGTTAATTTGAGTGTGGATGCATGAAGAATCTAACAGTGTGGGAGGGGTGACAGTGTGAGGGATGCCAACAGTGTGTCTGGGGAGGCTGTGAGTGAGGGGGTGATGATGAGAAGGAGAGGGGGGTGATGAGTGAGAGGGGGTGATGAGTGAGGGGGGGGTGATGTTGAGGTGAGAGGGGTGATGTTGAGAGTGAGAGGGGGGTGAAGGGGATGATGTTCCCTGGTGGTCCGGTGGCCATTATGCAGAGCTGCAGACCATAAATCTCGCGAGACCCATCAAAACGTCGCCGTGGTAACCCATGGCAACAATCTGATCACTGCAGAGCTGCAGACCGGTGTCTAATGGCTGGCTGGGCAGACAGGAGGGGCCTCCCACCCGGCAGCATACTGAGCAAGCCGCCGGGCCGACTCCTGGGGTTGGGTCCTCAGTCACTGACCAAGGACCCGACACAGTCGGCCCTCAGGCGGTTTAGGCAGCCAGCGCAAGGCCTTAGGCGGCCACCTAAACAGTCTAATTAGAGAGCCGCCTCTGCTTCCCGGTATCTGGCGGTTTGCTCGCAGACGGGTGGTCCGTTTTTCATCCAAAAGGATGGGTCACCTCTATCCAAATATCAGTTTTCCTGTCTTTTTCACTTGAGCCTAGATTCGTCACAGTTTGGTACACATTCATTTCGGATTGGGGCAGCAACAGAAGTGGCACGGCTGTTTTTTACTGATGACCTTGTTAAAAAGATTGGGTGATGGGAATTGGTGAGGTTCAGGTCTTATGTTCTACCTGATTGGTTAGTGTAGTCGGCTGGGGGGAAGTGCTTATTATGTGTTGATGCTATCTTTCTCTTCTATTTTAGGTCGAATTGCCTTGATAGTAGGGCATTCGTTCGTCTACTGGGTGGGACAGAGAGGCTCAGTTCGACCAAAAGGCAGACAGCTGGATATTTCTTGTGATTTACTTGAATTACATTGGTTTAGTTTCTGTGGCTTTTGTTGGGGGGACATCTGTGCTGAACTGTTTAGGAATTAGGCAAGGCATTGTACCGGATTTTATTTAAATCAATGCTGGGGGTAATGACTTGGGACTTAGCATTTGCTAGATTCTCTGCGGCCATAGCTACAAGTCGCATTAAGATCAATCAGTCAATGGCGGTTTGGTCAGGGGGTGTTGTAGTTTGGCACAAGGATTTAGAAGATCTGCTTCACCGGCTATTACCAATATGATGGCATACATCTTTCTGAGGTGGGCACGGACTTCTTGAACTTGGGTTTTCAGGTAAGATAGAGGCAGGCCGGGGGGTGCTCAGATAGCTTGAGGGGTCAAGCGCTGTGCTGTGGCGGGGGACAGATAGGATAATTGGGGTACGTTGGCTTAGTAAGGTAGGGAAGTTCAAGTTCAGGAGCAATAATTAGCTTTGCATTTGTTGGGTAGGTTCGAGCTTGTCAGTAGCTTTGAACCTAGGTGTGTAGCGGTATCTCAGTATACCTCTACAAGTGGTTAAGGATGCTCTTGGTGGCTGTTGTAACTGGTGTGTTGTATGGTAAATGTTATGTTAAGATTGCTGTCATTTCTGTGTGTGTCATTGTCTGTAAATGTTTACATTGGAAAAGTATTGGGCTTCAATGTCTTTAAGTGTGTTTGTTTGACTTTGACCCCCTTTATTCTTTATTCAACTTACGTGTGAAAATTATATTTAATAAAAGCTGTGATATTTTCCAAAGAAATATTGGTGTCCATGTTTATTGGGGAGTGGTCTGATGGTGAGTTTATTTGGAATATGCCAAGGAGACGACTATGCGCATGTCATGTAAATTTTGTATTTCCATCAATCAGCAAGAAATTTATTATGTTTTACTCTCGTTATGTAATACTTCCCTTTTGTTACAACATAGAATAAAAGGAGCTGAAGACCAACATTTAAATAATTTTAGGGAACAAACTAAAAAAAAAATTGCTCTTACCTAAGCATTTCCTTTACAAAACAAATAATCTTCCAAATGCAGTTTCAAATCAGCAATGCACAAATCAAGCAGTTTAGAATTGTCACCATAACTACCCTTATAAACTACCCTAGCAATGAATTTAAATGGAAATAATACATTGTTGGTGCCAGAAAATTAAGTAACTAGCATATGCTAAAAAATAGCACAGATAATTAATTTTGCTGAACTCCGAGGATATTACATTAGGTGGGATCTCAATTCAAAACAGTGTTGTGAAATCAAAGCAATTTATTAAGAACCAAAATAGTATTTTTCATATAGGGTGTATATTTTTTAAAAAAAGAATAATATACTGGTATGCCTAATGCAATACACAGAGGAGAGGGAGTCGGACTAGCAGTAAGCTGCTCACACTGGATAAAAATAGGAATTCACCAAAACCTATCAGATAAATAGCAAGGATAATACCCTAAAACTAGGGTGTATGGAGTCCAGGAGCTGGCTTGTATTGAGGATTCAAGTTCAGAGGTTGCGGTAAATACAATGGGTTAAAACATAAAATTTTATAAAGTGAAAGACATATATTAAGATGAAGATATTGTATCTTTAAAAATGTATCTAATAAAATTAAATTAAGGTTTGAAATTAAACATTTATTGGAATGTGGATCCACATTCTATCATTTATCCTGTATTATTACAGAGATTTAGATACCAACACCGTATACATTCGCTGCACTTTATAGTTTTAACTTTAATTTTATTTAAAGATACAGTATCCACATTCCAATAAATGTTTATCACTTCATAACGTTTAATTTCAAACCTTAATTTAATTTTATTAGATACATTTTTAAAGATACAATATCTTCATCTTAAAGGAACACTATAGTCACCTAACTTACTTTAGCTAAATAAAGCAGTTTTAGTGTATAGATCATTCCCCTGCAATTTCACTGCTCAATTCCCTGTCATTTAGGAGTTAAATCACTTTGTTTCTGTTTATGCAGCCCTAGCCACACCTCCCCTGGCTATGATTGACAGAGCCTGCATGAAAAAAAAACTGGTTTCACTTTCAAACAGATGTAATTTACCTTAAATAATTATATCTCAATCTCTAAATTGAACTTTAATCACATACAGGAGGCTCTTGCAGGGTCTAGCAAGCTATTAACATAGCAGGGGATAAGAAAATCTTAATTAAACAGAACTTGCAATAAAGAAAGCCTAAATAGGGCTCTCTTTACAGGAAGTGTTTATGGAAGGCTGTGCAAGTCACATGCAGGGAGGTGTGACTAGGGTTCATAAACAAAGGGATTTAACTCCTAAATGGCAGAGGATTGAGCAGTGAGGCTGCAGGGGCATGTTCTATACACCAAAACTGCTTCATTAAGCAAAAGTTGTTCAGGTGACTATAGTGTCCCTTTAATATATGTTTATCACTTTATAACATTTTATGTTTTAACCCATTGTATTTACCCCAACCTCTGAACTTGAATCCTCAATATAAGCCAGCTCCTGGACTCCATACACCCAAGTTTTAGGCTATTATCCTTGCTATATATTTTTTTACTTTAACATTCTTTATGAACCTTCTCTGAGCATCTTCGTATAAAACTGTCATTGTATGTGCTATCATTGGCATCTGAAAAATGTAATGTAAAAGTACCAGTGCGTGTAAAAGCCTGGTAGAATTGACTTCATCTTCTATTTTCACGTACCAATATAAAATTGACATAGATTTTCTATGTCTTATTCATACTGACCTGTGAGCAATCTAACATATTTTCCTTACCTTCAGATTCCAAGATTCCAACTTGGGAGAGAACTAATAGGATCCAAACGCTGATTTTCCAGAGCATCCTACCATTCAGGACAGTGACCGTTAAGGAAGCTTTTAAAATAGACAAGCCTAAAGGTACTAATCCGGGTAGGTTAAGAATGTCCCTCCTGTGTAGAATAGCTTCCAACTATGATGTGAAATGATTTACAACAATGTTTTCTTGGTCTCAAAACATTGCGTTGTAGAAAATGGGATTCCCATAGTATGTTTACTTCCTTAATTTCCTGTTATGCAATCTGTTTTAACATTCTAAAGACTGATCAGGGACACATGCACTCACTTTATCAGTAAACAATGCATATAAAATTTCCAAGAAATCTTAAAAGGACAGTTTCTGTTCAAGTCATAAGGGAATTTCAGTCTGACGTAGCTTATATAGTGGCTGATCTTTCACTTCCTTCTATTTATCATTCAGGAAACCAGGATTTTGACCAATTAAGAAGTAAAACTACGAATTACGGCAAACAGCCCATTAAATGGGCAAACAGAGGATAGGTGTGTGTTTAAAATAAAGTTTATGCTGATACAAACTGCTTGCCACTAAATATCAAAGCAATGTTTATGGAAAAGAATGCCACTTTTGACGCTATACAAAGAAAACCATTTACCATAATTATGCCATTGCCCCTCATCAAAAAAATGATAAGCCAAGGGTACAGCAGGACCACTAACCATCTCCATGTTCTTTATGTGTATACTTACTAGACGTGTGTTTGGCCAAATCCATCGGAATTTTGGCCAATTCAGGTTAGGTCCCCCTTTAGGCTGCCTTTTATTCATCGCCATGTCGGCCTCATTGTGACTGGCCCCGCCTCCATGGCTGAGATCATCAGTCTACTAGACAGCCACTAGAGGGCACTTCTGTGTCTATAGCACACGAAAAGTGTGCTATAGCGTCGCTGGACATCCTCACACTGTGAGGACCTCCAGCGTCGCTGAAATCCCCATAGGAAAGCATTGAAAGCATTTTTCAATGCTTTCCTATGGGGAGGTCTAATGCTTTCCTATGGGGAGGAGCGTGGGTGAACCCTGACCCAGCGCCGAGGGACATCAGCGCTGGATACATGGAAGTCACTGAAGGGGTTTTAACCCCTTCAGCAACTTGGGATGGGGGGTGGGAGGGAGAGGGGACCTGCAGTGCCAGGAAAACGGTTTGTGACTATAGGGTCAGAAATACATGTTTGTGTTCCTGACCCTATAGTGATCCTTTAATAAAGAATTTGCCTGTTGCACATTGTGTATAGTGCGTTATTTAAACTTCCAGAATGGTGTCCATGTAAGTCATTACCACATCCTGGGGATGTTTTTGGGTAGGAAGTTTTAAATGGAAAGTTTATACACTTAGGAAAGAACTTGCAGAATCTCAAAGATTCCTAAAGTCTTCATGGATGAAGGGCACACCCTAATCCCTGTGGCACGCCTATGTATATTGAGACTGGCAGGGGAGATCTCAGGATCTCCCCTGTCGGCTCATGCAGAGCCGGCGCTATCCGAGCGTCGGCTCTGCTCTCAGCCTCCCTCCCCACCGACCCACAGGCAGGGAGGGAGATAGGAGAGGACCGGCAGAGCTCTAACCAGCAGCTGCGCTGGGTCCTCTCGTGGGATTCAACACTCAGATCTCGCGAGAGTGAACTCTAGCCCCGCAGGCTAGAGTTCACTCTCCACTGGACCACCAGGGATGGAAGCAGCAGAAAGGATCCGCCCTCCCAGGCATAAGGTAGGAAGGGAGAGGGGATATTTACTAAACGGCCCCCACACCATACACACAATCACCCAAACATACAGCATCTACACACATACAGCACTCACACACACAGCACCCTCACACATACACACACACACACTTACAGCACCCATACACACTAACAGCACTCTCACACACAGCACCCTTACACACACTAACAGCACCCTCACAGACACACAGTGCCCCCACACACAGCAGTATATGTGTGTGTGTATGTATGTATATATATATATATATACACACGTGCAGCGTGTGTTTGTGCTTTAGGGTTCACACCCTTATACAATAGGCTGCGCACGCCTATGCTCGGGGGCATCCTTTCAAACTCTTGGCCTTCTACAGAACTACCTGCCTCTGATTCAAGGAGGTTCCTGGGGGCTCTTGCCAGAGGATTTTTTTTCCAGTTCCTCCTTCATGAGGAAGTCTATCTGCCAAGCCGTAACAGTGGGAAAAGTGTGGATTTGAAAGGGATAATAACCAAGCCTCTGGCTACCACTCCAAGGGCATAAAGAAACACCAAATTAACCCCCAAATCCTACTAGATGAACTTGACTGCCCCCACCCCCAAGAACCTTTTATAAGGGTGTCGTGAAGTACCCAAATGATATTCCAGTTATACTTAAATGCTATAGATATTTCAATCCCTTACACAATTAATAGTCTGGTAAAGTGAATTACTATCGTGTCTATATAGATTTGAGAATCCATATACTAGAGCCCAAAGAGAGAATTAGATTATTAATATTTTAATAATGAAAAGACAAATGTTACGCAATGCACAATGACAAAATCACATAAAACATTTAAAATAGACAAATGCAAAAATCTGTTCTTAAAATAAGATGGGACTTAAAACACAGAACCTACACTTGTGCAAATATCGCTGAGAATCTTACTGTAGACCAGTAGCGCCCAATCCCTCCCCTCCCCCCCCCCTTATATCGTAATGGTTACACTCCCTCCCTTACTACTTGCCTTTATTTATAATTATCTTCTCTTCCTTGTGCTGGATCTCCATCAATAACTAGGCTCTGCCATTTTGTTCTCCTCTGCCCATGATGTCTGCTGTTGCCCTTCTGTGAGACTGATTTTACTGATGGATTGTGAGTAAATTTGACTGATAAATTAAACAGACACTTTGAGTCCTCTGTTGATGAAACGGAGTCCAAGAGCAATTCCTTCTGTTTACAGCAAAGCCAACCTCTCTCCCTTGACCACACGGCCTGTCTAAAAAACCTGGTTTATTTAGATGACTAATGTGGACTCATTCATTTGATCTATGCACATGATACTTCTGAGTTCTGGCTGCAGGCAGCTTAGTCATATACTCTGTGATCAAAGGGGTTTTCTTTCCTGCCTAAACAGACAAAAATGCTGAACACAACCAAAAAGAAAGCGAATTCACATTGAAGGACCACTCCACCCAATCAAGTGAGTTTTGTGGTCTCCCAGCATGACCGATGTGAGCGTCACACCATGAATTAAAAAAACAGATTGACAGGTTAATGTTGGGTGGAGCCAAGGCATCCTGGTACCATAAGCACTACAGTGTGCTTCATTTTATGAATTTCAAAAAAACTCCACCATAATTCTCAGCACCAGGTCCATAAAGCCCTTTATCTGGCCCTATGCATCGTTGGTGCTTTCACCTTCTTCTATGGTGCTATTGTGGTTACATTGCTAGTTCTTCCTTGTAATTATCTTGTTTCTCCTCTATTTTGCACTGGAACTTAAATTAATATTAAAAAAATCTGTCCGTTTTTTTTGGTATATTTTTATTTTTAAATATATGTGCCAATTGTATCCTTGTTTACAGTACAGTACTGTGGATCTTGATTTAAAAACTATCTTGAATTTCCCATCACTGTATTAAGTGCATATGTAATATTTGGTTTAAGATCCTCATAGCATCTTCATTCATCTGGCCCTGCAACACAATAAAATGGAAATGTTACATTTGGTGAGCATATCAAAATAACTTACAAGACGGTTTTACAAATTTGAGCTGAAAAGAGATTTTCAAAGCATAAGTCCTTACTAAGCAAGAAAAATCAAGTTTAAATCAATAAGCCTTTAGCGTCTCCACATATAATAATTCCGTGTAAAACTATGAAGCTCAGAGTATTTGTTTTGGTTTTTTTTCATTCGTAATTTAATGATTTTGCCAATTTAACCCAATGCATTTCTGGCTGCTGGATAACATCAATTTCTCCTCACAGTTGATGGAAGGATCCATCCAAGTACAGCTAGCCCTACAATGGGTCCTGTTGGGGCCATGACTCAAGGCGACACTTTAGGGGGCCAGCAATAGCTGACCTCACTACGTCTAGACCCGTTTCTTTTTTGTTTTGTTTTTTTAAGGTAGCATGGGGCTCCATAAGAAAACTGCAGTTAGCAGGGTAGTGCCTCACACCCTGCGTAGGAGCGCCGGGTGTCACGTGACTACCCGGCGCTCGGTTTGAAACTATAGGCAGCACGCCGGACATCGAGAGTCTCCCTCCCCTGCCATGACAGGTGAAACAGCAGAGAGGGGGGGAGACCAATCTGTGCCTGAGCATAGCCAGTACTAACTTCACCTAGAGTGCTGGCCCTGTGAGGGCGACAGCTGACTGCCATTTTAAAAGGGAGGGGGGAGAGATAAAATGGGGGATGGGAAACATGGATGGAATCAAGGGAGAGACATAGAAGTGGGGTGCAGTCTGGTGCATTGAATGCAATATATAGTGCTGTGGTTGCCATCTGGAGCTGTGAAAAGGGGCAGTAAGAGTGAAAAGGTGCAGATGAGGCGAAGTGAAGCAAGGTAAGGGAAAGCAGGTAGAGATGTATGTGTGCATATAAAATGACTGGGGACTGGCCCTGTCTGTGAGTGTGTGTTGTATATGTGAATGTGTCTGTGTATGTGAATGCCTCTGTGAGTGAATGTGTCTGCGTCGACGTGCTTGACTGGGGGGTTCCTATAAGACCTTAAAGGGGAAACACAGCACAAATAGTGGTTGCTGCATGATAATTTATTCTCCTAAAATTCTTAAGTGGGCTTTAGTATTTTCTGGTAAAAATGTGGCCTGCTGATAAGTACATTGGAAAAGGACAAGGCAAAATTTCAAATGCAAAGAACATTTGGTAACATGCATACAATAGCAGCAGTCAGGGCCGCCATCGGGGTGACAACCATGGTGGTTGTCACGAGCCCGGTGGCCCTGGGGGGCCCGGCCATCCGGGCCCCACGTGGAGGGGCGAAACTGCCACAGGTGCATCTGCACCAGGGCCCATCAGGTGGCCTGAGCATTTAGGGCCACCCGATGGGCCCTATATCTTCAGGGCCCCTTTAAAAAAAAAAAGTTGCGGCTACACTGCAAGTGCTGCTGGGAGGAAGTGACAGCCGGTCACTTCCTCCCAGCTTACTCCGCGCGGAGGACACCAGAGGCATCCACTCCCATCATCCCCAGCCACCCTCCTGCAACTTAAAGGTAAGAGGAAGGTGGCTGATAAATGAAGTGAGTGTGTGTATATGTATGTGTTTGCATGTATGTCAGTATGTATGTGTCTATCTGTATGTGTATGTCTGTCTGTGTCTGTATGTATGTA